CCGTTATAGCTCTCGCCTTGTGCGACTACCAATAACCAGTGAATCCATTTGATTTGTTGCACAAGTACTGCCAATACATATAATTGTAGAAAACTTTAATCATTCTCGACCACTACGGAATATTGTTTAAAATTGTTAAAAAATAGTTAAATATCCCTAACGAGGCAAATTCTCTCTCTAATTTCCAAAGTATAATGTTATGCTTTTACAATGTTCTGATCTGATCTTGGTTCAATCTGAACATACAAACATTAGGAAGTCAGAGGGTAGTTTCTCAGAAGAAAAACCTGGTAGAGAAAAGAATACATAATAGTAGAATACTCACTATATTCATCACTGGGTTCTCTTGATCGATATCAACAACAAATGGAGCATTAATAACATCTTTTCCACTGAACAATTCCTCAGCATCTTTAAAATATTTGGTTGTTTTTCGCGCTGGCCCGGTACGTTTGTTGTTGTCTGTACATTTGGTATATGATTGTTTTATCGTTCTATGTCTAGCTTTAATCTGATCAATAGATTTGTGGACATCGACTGCTAATAAACCTTCTTGTACTTCTTTTCCAAGCGTCCCGATTTCTATGACTAGCCATTTCATTCGATATCGTTTCATCTTTTAACAAATTTAGCAGCAGGTTATTTCTAGGCACTTATTTCTGAAAGTGGTGTGAAGACCACTTTTATATTCGAACTTTTTGTAGTTTATATCTGTGTTTTAGCTTTTCTAAAGCAGAATTAAAGCAAAAAAATAACTAGTTTACGCAGTAAATACACGCCAGTTGCAGTGAATGAGAGAATAGGGACATAAAATCCTTTTTATTCTACTGTTGTACAATTGGAATTTTCTTTTGACGTGTTGGATATATTAGAAACGAGTCTTCTTTCGCAGAAAATGTACTACATCTAAGGACTTCTTCTGTGTTTCTTTTCTCAATTGATGTTTACTGTGCAAAGGTCTCGAAATAAAAATGCACAGAAGTGAGAAATGCATGAAAGGTTGATGTTTTTTATAACAATTCTGAGTATCCTCGGCGTAAGATCGCTTTGCTGTTAGTGGCTCTTAGGATGTAGCAAAGATCAGTTCGGTCCTGTTTGACGTACAAAGAATTGGGGCTCAGCCATTCCACCTCATTCACAGAATATTATATTGTTTCTAATAACGAACTGATCCTAGCAATAATATCTTCGGTATACATTCTCTGACAGCCCAAGCGTGAATGTGTTCTTCACATACGACAAGCGTTACCTTATCGGTAATATTCACACGTGAACCATAAAACATCAACCGCTCTCACTTTTATTTTGAGATCAAATACCAGTTATAGGTCGAACCATAACTGAGAAGTACATGGGAGAACTTAGAGAAGTCTGAGATTGAAACTGTTTTTAGAAATAACGATGAATATTTTTCGAAAAGTTCAAAAAACTGTTAACATAGTTTCTGTGACAAGTAGAGAGCGTGTTTACAAATAGAATTGCTGTGTACTTATTTTAAGCACAATCTCGAAGCGAGTCTGAGATAAATAATTCACCTTGATTGCATTATGTTCTCGAAGAGAAAACCGGATAAAACATGATGAAATCAGTATGTCAGTTACCTTAAGAAATACTTTATTTTGGGAGATCTTCTATCAGAAGTTTTTCAATCAAGAAATCACGATCCTGTTATTGAGCAGACCAGGATACTGGCCAGAAAACTGAATACTGGTCTTGAGAAAAACAGGTTCCTGACCAGGAAATCAGATATGGGTCTTGAATTCTTATTCAATTCGCTATATTCGAATCTGTTACGGCCCATCACTAATAACACATATATTAAGACTTTTTTCTGCGTAGAGGACATCACGCTTCCTTCGTTCGAGGAGATTTTCCTTCATATCAGTCGAACACTATACGTCACAACATATTGATATGGAAAAGATATATATATCTTCTTGTATGATATCGGCATGTCCGGCTAACGGTTCTTCATGTACAACCAAAGTTTCATAACGTTATTTGACAAAATACTCACGCTGTTTTAAAAATGATAGTCTATTACATTTTTAACATGATGCGTTTTGCTGTGATTAAGGCTCACAATGTAGTTTTTCTAAGCCAGAGATAGGCAAGCCATCACTTTTTCGAGTCTGAGTCGAGTCCGAGTCAGTAGCCTTCGAGTCGAGGCCCAAGTTCGAGTCGCATCAAAAATTCACTCGAGTAGACGCAGTTATAGATGCGTGTATGTTGAGTAGAACAAGAAAACTATTCTTCCACTTCTCACGTGTTTCTTCTGACAAAACGGGCACACAGTGTTCCGAAACTTGATCGTACAACACATGATAAAACTTTTTTTGTAGCAGTTTCTCGAGAAAGAAATTAAACAGAGTTTTGCGCGATACTTTAAAACTAAACTCGGGTTTTTTCGCACTTTTTACAGAAAAATTCGTTTTTTTGTGGTTCTTGAGCCAATCTCACGTTTCGTTGCGTTAAAAACGTGCTTTTCACTCATTATTTGTTACAGAAATACCTCATTTCGCGACTTCAGTCTACAAAACAAGTTTTACGTGTCCAAGAAACTATCTTATAAAAGTGAAACGCGTTTTTCAAATTTTGTTTCTAGCCAAACTGCGTTAAATTTGTTTCAATTAAGTCCTAAACGAGAAAAATTCGGTGCCGTTCTCGAGTCTTGAAGTCTGTTGCGACTGAAAAAGCGCTTTTAAAAAGTTATGATGGTCATAAACTCGTTTCTCGCGAATTATTGATGGCAAAAACGCGGTTTTTATTAAATAATATGACAACGAAATTTTTATCATGGCCGTTATTAATCGTTATCGAAGTGAACAAACATTAAATTTCCTGATCGGAAAAAAGTCATATTAAAAAGTGTCTAATGTCGGGTCGCTCAAGTGTCAGCGCTTAGATGTCGGTTGACGGTGTATTCAGGGTGTCCAAATCTCCTGATTTTTAGACTTTTCTCCTGATAAAAATTCTCCTGATTTCAGAAGCTGATTTTTAAGATTTTCTCCTGATTTTCAATTGTTTTTCGGTATCAATTTTGTTCTTCTTCAAAACTGAGATTATCAGTTTTAGAAACAAAATTTCTGGATTAAGAGTCTAAATAATTGTACATTGAAGAGCCCGCTGTGTGCTCATAGAATGCTCTCATCACAATAAGATGAGATTAGTGAACTTTCAAACCCATCGGATCAAAATCTTCCTCCATCTGTAGTGCAGTATGTAACGAATGATAATACTGTTTCATCAAAAAATATTTCAAAAACAATTCTTTTTTTGATAAAAAGATGTTTTAGGAAAAGTTCTTGCAGTTTTCTGTTTTGCTTGTCCAGGGAAAAACTACCTGATACTCTCCTCTTATTCTCGGGATTTCAAAAAAAAACTCTTCTGATTTTTTACGAAAAACTAGATATGGGCATCCTGAGTGTATTATACGGGCAAGAACTCACTCATTTTGAATGCTAAACAAGAAAGTTTTTGATTTTATTCCATTCCTGAGACTGTAAATTCATTGCGTCTGAAAAGACGCGTCTTAACGCATTCATTTTGGAAAAGACTCGTCTAAATGCGTTCTTTTTAGAAAAAATTCTCAGACGCGTCTAGCATTTTTTATTAAAAAGAACGCGTCTTCTCGCTCTTTGCGGAGAGAAGTCTCCAAGACGCATCATACCGTGACGCGTCTTGACGCGTTTTTGCAGTAAAATTTGTCAGACGCGTCTAAATGCGTCATAGTACGACGCGTTCAGATGCATCTGACGCTTTCGATTAAAAAAAACACGCTTTGCCATGAGAAATTTCAAAGATAGCCATGCATTACGTCATTGACAGTTTTGCCCTTCGACGTATGAATAATGGATAGTATCTATTTAGTTTCACCTAGAAACGTTTGCAAGAGGAATTGTGTGTGTAAAGACAATTATATTTGGACCGCAAATGAGTATGTGACTATCATTCGACTTTTTTTAAAGATGATGCTGTCAAGCTAGCACTTCTAGTAGTGGGAGAACGCTCCATTTCGACAATTAATCTGAAAGAGCGAAAGAAAAAAACAGCCGATTAAAATCTTTTATTAAATATCTATATTGAACATTTTTCACCAAAATCGAGATAAGATCCTTTACAGGAATTACTGCTTTAACCGCTTTAGCAATTAGCATTTTTCGGATATTCTCGACGCATGCTCTCTAACTTAAATGCAGTTATAGACAGAAAGAAACATTACATATAAACAAATTAATTTTATCAGTATTGTAGTATCTATTGGAATTATATTGAACAAAATCAGGCGAGAGGTTATGTCTGCCGGAGCGAATAACTGGTCTGGTCACGATTGGCTCAGCTTTACTCTAAAAGTCTGTCTGTTTTCACCGATTTCTACCGCCAGCTCTTGCGATTCTGCTTAAATATCTAAGCGCTCACCAGAGATAGTCGCATTCAATTAATTAATTAATTTTTTTCCATTAATTAGTCGAATGAATCACTATGATTGCTTCGTTTAATCAAATAAAAACAAAGCCATGCTCCTTTAAATTACTTTCAAGTCGTAAATTTTCATTTGCCGTTTAATATTTTTAATAACAGTGATGGTTCAACACGATATGGTCCATTTTGATAAAAACCAAATTGTTAAATTAACTCTGCTGTCATTCAGTGTACATAAACTTGAAGACCAGTTCGTTCATTTCTAAAGACAACAGGTCTACACTGTAAACTACAAAATAACTTATAGAGTATCATAAACGATATTCTAGGAAAGTCCATACAAATTCCTAGACGAATTTCTACTTTTTGGAAAATAAACTATTGATATTCAAGTTTCGATTTTCTGTAGGAAATCAAATTGAATTTCTATTATTTAGAAAATCAAGCATTTTCTAAAAGTCTGAAATTCGACGGACGAATAATAAAAGTTTGAAAATGCTTTGGCTTTTTCAAAGTCGATTTTCTATAAAATAGAATTTCAAAAAAATTTACAGTGTAGAAAAATCAAAAATTCGACGCTAAGATTGAACAAAATTGGATGCTATTTCATTCAATAGTTGTTGATCATTTGCAATACGTTCATCAAATATCAGTTGCATTTCATTTAGAGCTTGTGACGACAGAGACCATTTCCGCGGCAGCTCTATCAACTCTGATTTTCCAACAATTTGCTCATGGTGAATATTGGATAAAATAATTTTCATAATTTTTATTGTGTTGGGACAACAATTTTAGCTTCTTCTTGTTCCAGATACACTTTATGTTTACGTATTATATAAAATTCATTTAAGCCCCCAGATGAACCCCAAGTACTGTCCAAAAGTGTCTGTATACCATAGGTTAACAATCGAGCTAAGTTTACTTTATTTAAATTATATTCGTTTGGTTCAATGGGATATTGTTGGGTATCATAAGCAGCTGGTGGTAAGAAACATGTGATAACTTGACCGTTAATATTAAAGTTCTTATCAACGAACTTTTTCATATTTCCAGTTACTTCGGCCATATAAATAAATGGTTTAATTAATTCTTAATGTGTTGTTTTACCAATGTTAACCATGTGCCAGCATCATTTAACAAAACTTCACGTAAATCATCATTTTCTTTTAAAAAACATTCATTAGAGTTATCTTGAAAATATTTCAAATATTCACTTTCCCTAAATGTTGGATTTTCAAATTGTTTACTATCGACTTGGCTCTTTGACGGCAACAAACGAAAGTTTAAAGCACGAACTGATATACCATTAATGGTGTCAGTTAATTCGAGATGCGATAGTACGTCAAGAGGTGTAGTCTATAAGATCAAAAATGAACGTACTTTCAACCGTACTTTCAAGAGGGATACGTACGTCAGACATATTGAATTTTTCATTCGCAATAATATCACCAAATGTCATCTCTAAATTTCGCGTATATGTTGCATAATCTCGTTCGAATTGAGTTAAACCTAAGAGAAGAGAAAAATGAACGAAATGAATCATGTTTTTGTAAAGTCCGAAAAGTTCATATTGAAAAAATGAAATGAATGAAACGTTGCAAAAATCATCTTTTTATACGGAGTTTTTCGAGATGAGCATCCTTCGAAACCGATATTAGATGGGAAAATATTCACTTTTTTCTTCCTGTTTTGAATCAGACGCCCTTTTGGTATCTTATGTTTTGAAGGCTACTCGTGTCGAAAACCAATAAATCGGGTCTTGAAAAACTTCGTATAAAGAGATGGTTTCTTCTTAGGTTTTTAGAAAGCGATTTTTTTCATTTAAATTGACATAAGATCGAAGGGCATACGACCGGTATAACTCCAAATTTTGCTCTAACGAGGGAACCTTTTCAGGTGTCACACTCCGTTTTCGTTCATTCATATCTCAATCGATAGAGTATATCCAGATGGTCAAAAGCCTAAAAGGGTTCTGGTCCAAGTCTCTTCCTTCAAAACTTATGGAATTTTTTCACTTTTTTGTGTTTTTCCCCAGTGAAACAGGAAAAAATTAAAAATTTTCTAACTCTTTCAAGAAAAGGAATTAAGAGTTCAAATTTTTTTCTAGCGTAAAAAGCCTTTTGGAAGGAGGGCGGTTTACAGATCAGAAGTTCTATCGACATGAGCTATAGTCAGTCATGTTTGAAGAAAACCGAGCATTTTGAAATGCACTATCATCTGTGATTTGGGAATGAGACTATATCTGCAGACATATGAATGTATCTACTCATCGCGTATGTACACTTAGTCATTAGCCCTTTCGGGACGGGGGACGTTTTAAAACGTCATTGAAATTTCACGTGATCTGACGAGTCAGAATTCGAATTTTTTTCACGCCTCTTTGAAGTATACATTGCGACTGCTCTTTTTACACTTTCGTGCTTCATCAGTTTCATTCTAGATATGGCTAGAGGGTTAGATGGGTCTGGAAAAAAAAATCATTTTTGAAAAGTTAAAAAATTTGTAATTTTTGCTCACAGTAGGTTGGCCCTGAAAGGGTTAAGTGCCTAATGGGGTTTTGTAGAGGAAAGAAAGCTGCATCCAACCATACGATTAACCATCGCGGAAAGTTAAAGCGCATCATATATTTCAAAAACACTATACAGTGACCCTCTCCTCTGTGGACAAGTATCGGGCCTTTCGAAACTCTCCCATTTCTACTAGGACAATTTCACTAAAATGCTATACCAATTGTGAAAACCTATGCAGAAAAATGTGCTCTTTCACGCTGGCTATGTCAAAAAAATTTCGGAGCGGCGGCAGATTTGCCGTTCTATCCGGCGGTGTTCTCTTCTTTTTCGAAAAAAGAATCCGGTCCCAAAAGGGTTGAAAAGAACCATTTTGAGACTCTTTCAAGCAAGGGGACGTGTAGGGTCTCTTTGGAAGCCGTTGTGCCGACCAATAATAAAAAATGAGACTGGTAGAAATTAGGGTCAAGATACGCTAGCGTGCAAAAGCTAGACGCAAGCTTGCGTCTAACTTATCCTTTAGTCTTATTGGTTGAAATTCTGGGAGCAAACTTAGAAAAGATTAATTTTTATTTAAATTTTTAAGTATATAAAGCGTAACTAATTAGGAAAAGATATGAGAGTATCATTCATCGCTCAAATTAATAGCACAAATCTTAACCATATCTTAGTTGTGCTGCATGATAGGATTTTTATCGGTAGGTAAGATCATTAATTTTCTTGCACTGTGAGAAAGCAAGAGAACTTCTTTTTTGTGTTCTTCTATTATACGTCGCCGCGATGAGAATTTTTACTCTGTGTCCGTTATATGTAGGAATTACCGATGAGCAGATTTCACTTCTTTTAACCCGAACCCGTGATAATACTTTTTTAAGACCCGAACCTGTTCAAAAAAGTTTCTCAAACCCGAATCCGAAAAAGCTCGACGTTTTTTAACGCAAAGAATTAGTGAGTTGAAATAAGAAGCTTGTTTTGTTTTTGTTTTTATTTTTCTTCTTGTGCTTTTTGATTATGATGATGACCGGATTCGGATTCGCGAGTTCGGGTTAAACCCGCTCATCGCTACTACTTAGTCAGTTCGTCTCTAATATAAAAGTATTATGTCATAATGTGACAGAACATGTGAGAAGAGAGAAAAAAGACACTTTTCTTCAGTGATTCAAGCACATACAGAGGCCGATAAAAGTTATACGAAAACTCGAATAAGTTGAATGATAACTGAGAATATGTACACAACAATTGAAATAGAGTTGAACGGTGTGAATAAAATTACTGTGTACTTATTTTGAGGTCAATCTCTGGTGAAAATGAATTGCATCATGTTCCCGAAGAGAAAGCCAGGTAAAACATGGGAACCCACTGCCTCGAGAAAAAGCTTTTCGGAGAGTGAGCTTTCTCGACTCTGAAATTTGTACTTTTTCCTGTTCTTCGACTCAATCTGAACTCTTGCACAAGAAGCAAGATTTCTTGAGAAGAAAATAAAATTTCTTGTCTTTCCTCAGGTCAAGATCGTGATCAAGGACGTACTAATGAATTTTTCAAGGGAGAATTGACCGCCCTCATGGAGAAAAACGTTTTCGCTTTGTAAAAATTTTTCAACCGGTAGTACTCTTTCAGAGGATTGATCTCTCGCAATATCTGTTTACAACAAAAGGAAAACTTATCAACTTTTATTTATTTTTCTACAGATGAAATTAACTTTTTTTCAAACATATAAAAATTAGAGGTTTTATTATTGAAATACAAGACAAGTTACCGATTTTTACAGAAAATAAAGAAACCTTATCAGTTTTTTTATTTTTTGCAAATCATAATACGAAGTTTTCTATAAAAAATTAGGCTGAAATTTGATTTTTGCTAGATACAAGAATATTTGTCAACTCTCATCGTCTTTCCAAAGATAAAATGAACTTCGCCGACTAAAAAAAAAGTTGAAAATTTGATTTTTAAAATTGAGAAAAAAGTTGTTAGATCTGATAGTAAAAATAATAAAATTTTTCATTTTTTGGTTTTTCGAGAGATAAACTCATTGTTATTTTTAAATCATATATAAGTTGGATAATAATTTTTAGTTTTTCCAAAGATAAAATGAACTTTTTTTTGAAAAAAAATAAAAATTGGAAATTTCATTGTTGTATAATAGATGAAAATTTATCAACTTTTATTTTTTTGGAATAATACGAACTATTCGTATAAAAAAAGAATTAAAAATCGTGAACTTCAGTTTCAAAATTAAAGAATAGTTGCGAATTGGAAGAAGAAAAACAGTAAATTTGTCATCGTTAATGGTGCTTACAAAACAAACAGTGAACTTTAGTTTTAAAACTGTTTAGGTTGAAGTTTTGTTTTAGAATTAAAAAAGGATTTGTCCCTTTTTGTTTTTAGCAAATACAAAATGAAAACATTTATTTTCAAAAAAAAGTAAAATGAACCTTTTGTTTCATACAAAAAGTGTAAGTTGGATGTTTTGTTCTTTTCTAAATAAAAGAAGATTTTTCATTTAAGTAAATATCAAGAAATTCTTTAGTTTAGAGAAATGACATTAGCGCTCACAATTTCATATATATAAAATCCTCAAATATTAGGTATATGAACCCTTTCAAAATCAAAAATAAGAATTAATTTTTATGCTTTATAAAATTAATTTCGACTTCTTGTTGTCTGTTTTTGATTCAGCGTCCCTTTTGTTGCATTTTATTGACTTTCGCAGAAATATTTCACTTAAAGGTTAGTTCGACTTTACTCACAAGGTTCCAACGTTAATCGGACTAAAGAAAAATAAACAAGATTAAAGAGAAGAAGAAAGTAGAAGGCGGTTCCAGTCAGAAAATAAAGAACAGTTCTGTGTAGAGACTTGTTGGAGTGAATGTTTATCGTCTGCTCTACACATTTTTTGACAAACTTGTTTATAGTGCTTCTCTTTTGATGGCCTGCAGCAATCAAATTATTGACTTATTGCACCATGTTTTACCCGGTTTTATAAAAGGTCATGATTCAAATTGCTTCAACTAGCGAAGGCTGCAAGAGTTAGCAAAAAAACGCACATGGTTCGATTTCGTGTTGGATTCTACGTAAGTTTTGTGTTAAATATATCCTCAAATTACGTAGGTCGGGCAGAAAAAAAAGCTTCTTTTCTTCGTTCTCGTATAAAACACGTGTATTTGAATGGGCGTGTTCTAATTAAAAGAATATATTCAGTGTTTCTATTCTAAATAAATACGGTATAAGAACAGAAATGAAGTACAATGTATTCGATTAATCGATGTTTGAACAAACGACACATGAGTGATCCCGACAGTTGAGCGACCGATATTTGAGCGAAGTGCATTACTTAAGGGTACTTCCCCCTCTTTTTTGTAAAAATTTCAGATGTTGAGTTGAGCATAGCCTAATGTCGAGGAAAACGTGGGCTACCAAATACGACCACTCCCAATATTCCACGACCTTTTCTCAAATAGTTATGGATTTTTGAAGTTTTTCCTTGAAAACCTAAAATAACTCAATATTTTAATTTCATAAACTTTTCTCTCATTTTCCGTATATGCAAAATTTTTCTTACACATAGTCTGATAGAAGAAAGTGTTTTCTTCAAAATGAGATGTTTCACAGAATTTTCCGATAAGTTTTCGCGGAGATATAAGCATCGTGGGAAATGCTCTGAAAAAAGTGAACTATGTACAAAATAAATCAAAACTTAATACTTTTGAACTAGCTGCTGATTTTCGATACTAGTTAGTTTTTATTGTTTCATTTATTTGATTTATCTGGATGTTGACATTTAGAAAAGCTATCTTATGTTTTACACAAAAGTAAATTATTCAAAAATTATGCAAAAGTAGATTGTAAATCATTCTTACTGCTGAGTAAAACTTTTTGTAGCTAAGGACTTGGACTATCTAGAGAAAAAAAAATATTGTGTGTTTTGTAACTTAAATTACTACCAAAATGAAAACGTAATGAAACAACCCGTTTTCTAACATATTTTGGGCGGGGATATTCATACTATCTATTTCAAAGTAAAAGGTAGTCAATTGTTTTTTGAATAACTAGAGAATGGAATGAGTTACAGAGCTGCAGTTTTCAGATTATGCAAGAGGATAAACGGGCCATAAATCTATGCCAAAATGAATCTTACTAAACAAGTGTACCATGGTGTAGCTTTCGAAGTTAAAAGTCTCAGCCTGTCATTCCAGAAATCTGCATAGCAGAATATTGCTCTAAATACATGTGGATATAGAACAGATGTCACTCTACAACCTTGTATAAGTCATACACTTCTATCTCACGTGGTTCGGATACTACAGGTAATCTCTGAGGACCTATCTATCGATCAAATCTGAGCTCTTGGAAGCTCGAAAACGCATGGTACATAGGCTATCGGAAAGGCTGATTACTGTGACAATATTGTTAAAACTTTCTGACTTATCGAGATCAAAATAATTGTCCTGGTCGAAACATATGCCAACCTTTGAAAATAAATAGTACCAGCTCGACTGAAGAAAATATGTCATCGAATGGACCATTCATAAGAGGAAAAGATTGTTTTTAAGTCACCTTGAATAAGCTCGTATTAGTGGTGATGTCAGTTTATAAGAAACCAAGGAACAAAATAGTATAGAATATTCTTATCTTTATAAGTTGTTTTACTGTTATACACAATCAAATGAAGAGAAAAAGGTAAGAAGAAAAGTAAAGAAATATTCTTGAGGGTCTTTTTTCACCAAAAAAACTCGCATTATTTATTTCGAACTGATTTCATATTCGATGCATCAAAAGTAAATCATACGTATACAGCCTTACGATTTTAAAATCTCATTCAAGAGTACTATCTTTAAGTTAGTCAAAAATGTCAATTGATCCATCGGCAGTCGTAAAAATTGGATATAAAAGTATAAAGTTCATTATCGAGTTTATTGAAATCGTTGAAAGTAACAAAGAAGAATCAAAGAAATTGATTGATCGTCTTGCTCGTATTCAATATATCATTGACAAAAATGAATCTGATCTCAAGATGATCCTACGATTACAACAAATTGTTGGTACAACAAATAAAATTGCTGAAAAATACCGTGCTGACTATGAAGCATCCTGTTTTTCATCATGGAAAGTCTGTTGTCAAAAGTTGAAAACAGCAAAAGATTACCAGATTATACGAGAGAACATTGAAAAGATGAACAATGAAGTAGATCGTGTTGTGGGCGATACACATATTTGTTTGACAGTGGACGTACAACGACAAAATAATCAAATTATTGGAATTACGGTCAGTATTCGAGAACAGCTGTCAGAAATACAGAAAAAACAAAATGAAATACATGATGATATCAAGGAATTGAAACAAAGACAAAAACCTAAAGTATATACCGAACAAAAATTTAAATGTATCATTGATAAACTAAAACAAGAATATTCCGATAAATATTCAAAGATTCAACGATTGATAACAGATAAATCATATCCGATTGAACAAAGTTACGTTAATTTGGCTATTATTGAAAATTCAGAAAAACAACCATCTCAAAATCAGAAACAAGATTTAAGTACAATTGGTTGTACAACATATGAACAAATATATGGAAACAAAGAACCAAGTACGTCTGTTTCAATCTACTCTGTGATTCACCATTCATTCTCAACAATGTGATTTATTTTAGTTAATGTCAAAGATTTATTCAATCATCATGAAAACAAACCACGAAAACGACTTTTAGTTTACGGACGGGCGGGGATTGGCAAGACAACATTGTGTCAGTATGTGGCATATCAATGGGCTAAAGGTCAACTTTATCAACAATACAAATGTGTAATATGGATACGTCTCAGAAATTTATCAAAGAATTTATATCAACTACGACAAGCACAACCATATATACTTAGCGAAATAGTAAAACAAGAATGTTTTAAAACACAAACACTCAATGATGGTGAAGAAGAAATGCTCAACAGTTTGCTTAGAAATATTTCTTCAGACATACTTTGGTTATTGGATGGTTATGATGAATTGAACGTTCCAGATCGTTTACAAGCTCCTTTAGAAGAATGTAAGTCCTACATATTATACTTCATAAAGTTAATTAAATTTATGTTTCTGTATTTTAGTAATGAACAAACAATATCAAATATTAACATCACGTCCATCGACAAAAGTACCGTACCGATACGACGTTGAATTAGAAATAACCGGATTTAAAGAAAGTGATGTTCAAGCGTATGTTAAACATTTCTTTGAAGATAAAGCAAACGATGGTGAAAAAATGATAACTTTTCTTAAAGCAAGCCCAAATGTGTGGGGAATTGCCCATATTCCTGTCAGCTTGGAAATTCTTTGTACGTCATGGAATGAAGAACAGCAACGGAGGCAACAACGACAAACAACAGTCACGGTATTGTATGACAATATGTTGGAATGGATGCTGAAACGATACCTTTCAAGGTCAGTGTCAATTTATCAAATTGCAAAACTGAACAAAGAAAGAGTTTTCGAAGAATGTGAAAAAGAACTAGAGATATTAGACGAAATTGCGTTTCGATCGCTAGAGTCTAGTCATTTAATTATTAGTGGTTTGATGTGTAATGATATAGTGAAACAGAAATGTGATGAAGGAAGTAAGAACAAAGAAAGAGATGAATGGAGTAGAAAAATAATCGAAATTGGTCTTTTAAGAGCATTAGAAAGTAATGTGTTGAAAGAGGAAGATAGAGATTATTATTTCATTCATTTGTCTTTTCAAGAATTTTTTGCAGCCCGATATGTAAACCGATTGTTTAAGACGAATAACAGCAAAATGGGAATTCATTTTGTTCAACAAAACAAATATAATTCACGTTTTCAACTAGTTCTCACGTTTCTTGCCGGTTTATTAGATCAACAATTTGTTGAAGTATTTTTTAATACTCTCACTAGTGAACCAGTTGATCTCATTTTTGCTCGACATTTACAAATTTTGATTGTCTGTTTGGAAGAAATTAATATGAAACAACACCGAACAATGAGTACAAAAGTTTTAAAACAAATACAAAAGTACTTGATATTTATTGTAAAAAATCAAAATGATCATGACTTGCATTCATTTGCAAAACCATTTTTGGAAGTGTTAGGACGGAGTTTTAATGTACTATCGGAACTTGAAATAGAAAGAACAATGTTAAAATTGTTAAATGGTGAAGAAAAATACTTTATGGTTTCTATAATAGGAGAAATTGGAAATTGTTCTATAAATGTTTTTCGTCAATTAATTTTTTTATTCAATGACAGTATACAATATAAAAGTATTTATTCAGATCTTGCTAACACTGTATGCACATTATTTCGTTCCTCTACTGCTTCAAATGTTTTAAATAGTCTACGAGTCCAAAATGTTGAAGGACAGAGAATAATAGAAAATACGATAAAAAATATTTTAGAATTAGTAAAAGAAGACTCACAATTAAATTATTCTGCAATAACACATAAAAGAAATTTTAATGTTGCTGCTGCTATTTTAACTCTAAATGAGTTTGAAAATTATTTAACTCCTGATAGTATAAAGAAAATACAAGTGAATCTTAAAATTGATTACTCATTATTACATGATTTTGGCTACGATTTAAATAAATCTATTACAAAGCCATTTGTAGATGAAACTTTCCATTTGCTGTCGAGCAACGATGAATTGGAAAGAAATCAAGCCATTGAAACAAGCTGTAGGTTGTGCCATTTGGCTAATGACAACATTTGTGACAAACTAATTGATATTCTAAAAACCACATCAGATGACGAAGTAAAAGAAGCGGTATGTGAAGTGTTTCGATATCAAAACGCACATGGAAAAATAAAGTTTGGAACTGTAAAAAAATTAGAGAAAACGTTCGATGAATACCAAACTGACGAAGTTATAAAATCGTTACTGGTAAAAATATTTGCCCATGTTTTACATAATCATAAGGAATTTTTAGCATCTTTTACATCAAACATTGTTGATGATATAGCAACATTTTGTTTGAAGCAGTTAGATGATTTTGAGAATATGGACCGAAGAAAAGTGATTGAGCTCTTGAAGATGTTGATCTATAATTCGACTGTTTCTAAGAAAATTATGTTACACATGTTGAATTTATTAGACGATGGTTCCGGTTATTTATATGAGGTTGCACTTGATTTTTTTGAAAGCATTAAAGAGGAATTTGTGAACAAATACGATGTAATTGAAAGAATACTGAATGCATTTTCTACTTATCATCGGGATTTATGTCAGAAAACTACTGAAACGTTAATTTCAATTTGTAAAGAAACTGAAAATACCGATCTATTAAAACCATTAGAAATGGTCATAATCAACAGCGATGACCGAAATGTGAAATATTTGGCAGCAAAAATATTAGGTGAAATTGACAAAGTGTCTCATGAAGTTTTAAGTCAAATACTTGATCAACTAAAGAACATAAATGATTATGAAAAACAGCAGCTAATTATTGAAATGTTGTACTATTTGCCATTACCAGCAGCATCAAAACCAGAAATTGTTGAACAACTATTTAGATGTTTGGAAGAAGATACATTCGACTTTAATCTACTTGGTTGGACAATTGCTCATATATGGCCATACACAAATGATGAAAGTATTTTAGATCGAATGTTAAAACTTTTTTCAGGTGAAACTGTAAAAAACCAGAAAGTGGTAATGTTTATACTCCAAGAAGTAGCAAAACACCCAAGAAGTTCTGTTATTTTAAATCAGTTGATAGATCGTGTGAAAAAACAAAATGATCAGGCCTGTATTGATGCTCTTCGTCTATTTTGTTCGTATATTGAACATCCATTAACAGTTGTACACCTCGTAGATGTAGCACAAAAAGAAAAAAATACAAACATTAAACAAATTGTGACTGAAACACTTTTCAAATTAGGAAGAAGAGATGAAAATAATACTACAGTAAGATTAATTGATGTATTAGTTTATATTTATAGAGAGTACGATAAAAAGAATGATAGAACTAAAATTATCTCCTCTCTTTTATCTTTCTGTAATGACGAAACTATTAGATCTCTTTCAATTAGTTGGGAGTTAAACTGGTATGAATTAATTATTCCATTAGAACTACTTTACACATATTTAATGACAAATAATCCATTATTGCTCGAAATTATTTTCTATCAAGCATTACCGCATTCAATTGCTATAACATTTGATAAAAATGAAAAATGTATACTTGTTTACCAAAATAATGGATACACTAAAGTTACATGCGAAAGCATGAGCGTATTAAAAGTTTTAAAGAAAAAATTTTCAGAATTTAGATATAGATGTGGTTTATCAGACGTTGATGTAACAGATGAAGAAAAGAAACAGCAAATATATACAACCGTAGAAAGGAGGAAAATTTCTACGAAAACGTTGTCAGTTAAAAAACAACCAATAATAAAAACAATTACACAGAAAAAAAAGACAAATTTGATGCCAAATGTGGAGTGTTAAAGTAGGAAAAAAGTATTATAATTAGGTAGAGAAAAGGGCGTAAAGAGAGAAGAGAAATGAACGTTTTGGTTGACAGTAGAAAAATAGGTGCTGACATTTTGTGAAGCAATGGTTTTTTGTTTTGTACTTTTTCAACTTCTTTTGTACTCATCAATATTCATCTCTGTATTCAATAAACAGATTATAGACTTTTTCCAATCGTCTCTCTTAAAAAAGAATGAACAACGAACGTTTTCAAACTTCTTATTTAAAACATAGAACTACAGGAAGTACTTTCCAGACGCCATGGTTCATCATTCACCATCTCAATATGAATTGAAAAATCTTATTTCTCTTCTGATTTATTCTCGCGCAATTGCTCAACATTTTGATTTTGATTCTTCAGCTACTGTACTTTCATCTGTCAAACTCGATTGTTCCTTTTCTACTTTTGCTGGTTTCACCATTTTCAGGGGTGGTGAAGACCTTGTCACCGGTCTTCCACTTTATTTTCTCCCATCCTTATCCGCACCACCCAGTTCATCATTGTCCGAATTTTCAGTACACTGTAAGTGATGTTGATTTTATATAAAATAAATAGCGATTTTTGAAAAGTCCATATACTTAATCCTTGAAGATTCTATAATATGTCTGAAATTGAATTTTATAACTTTATTTAAAATCATTGTCAATTTTATAGGAAGTTCTAAAACGAATGTTTGGTTTTATATAAAATTCAGACGATTTTCAAGATTCTCTAAAATCGGATTTTTGAGTGTTTATAAAATCGGCATTGGTTTCACAATTCAATTTTATAGAAAGCCAAAAACCGTCGACGATTCTTATTCTACAAAATCCTGGAGGATTAAATATATTGATTTGTCAAAAATCGCAAATGGGAACTAATTTACAGATTTTATAAACTCGTTCATCTTATTTGTTTATTGTTTTACGTAGCTAAGACAATACAAAATTTGAAAATGAGCTACAAGAGATAGAATAAAGCTGAGCAATTACAAGCTAGCAGATAAGTCATTAAAGACGTCCTGAACACATTAGCAGACCACCTCTGCCATCGTTCGTGTCAAGAAAACGGAATGATGAATCAGATCAGTATACTGATGTTTCTGTCCCGGATGTTTCCCTTAACTACAGTTAAACATCCGAGATTTGTACCGATGAATCACTTTTAAACATTGTTTCATATCTTTATTCCGCCAAGTCAATGTTTCAATAACAAATAATCTCACTAATAAAGCACAGTACTGCGCAGAACCACAAACAGCTTACAATTTCTATTGCCATAGGAAATAAAAACCATGAACAAATAAAAAATATGTTATCTGCTCAAAGGTCACAGGTAATCATACCAAAAATAGGACAGCCCCTAGTGAGGCTAAAATGATGAAACTCCTCTAATGTTGATATATAAGTTAATGAGTCGTGGTGTGGTGATGCATGGTATATAGCAACAAAGTGAAGTGGAAAGGAATAACAAGAAGATACTCAATATCTAGGAGAAATTCTCCGTCCATTTTAAGATGAATACAGCACCCACTGTCTTCTCTCAAGTGCCACATTTTGAGCTATTAGAATATGTGAGTGGATTTTATATTATTAAAGTTTTGTACACAAACTTCCTCAAATACCCTTATGACCAACACTTTTTCATGTTGTTGTAGATCGAAACTAAAATTTAAACTGTAAAGCGAATTACTAAAACTTTAAAAACAGGGTTTTAGCTAGAAAGTTTGGACTTGTGTCAAAAGATAGGCGATTCTACGGAACAATTTTTGATAACATAAAATTTTTCTCTAAGACTATTAGTTTCGTAGATAAACTTTTGCGAAAAAAATTCGATTTTCACATATTTTGTAGACCGACATTTTCAACATTGTTCTTTCAATATAACTCTACTTTAAAGCAAACCGATTCTGTCAACATTTTTTTTATTGTGCAAGTTACACTAGTGATAAAAATATTGTACACATGGCCAACGGCAACAAGTCCTTCCTTTCGTGCACTTTTAGGCGTTTTTTCGGGGCAAGATTTCGCTAGTCCAGAGACATCGCAATCAATAATTATCCATTCAAAATAAATTTGAGCATCGGCAATTCAAAATGCATTTAGATTACACTTAGACTACACTGGCGATTTAAATAGATGTAGAGTCTGTACATCTATTCAAATCACTAATGCAGTCTAAGAACATTTTGAATTGCCGATGCTCAAATTTATTTTGAATGGATAATTATCGATTGCGATCTTTTTGCGATATCTCTGGGCTTGCGAAAACTTGCCCCCAAAAAACCACTTAATGGATGCGCTATTCAGCCCTTGGCCATATAATCATATCTAGCTCAAAACAACTTTTAGTTTTGGAGAAAAACGGGTATTGCGATCAAATGTTAATCGATGTTGTCAGAATCGTACAAGAAAAGCGTCAATAATATCGACTTGTGTGCTGATTCTAGTTGAATGAGATATAAGCCCTCTTGGCTCAGTAGTAGAGCGCTGATCTAGTAAACCACCCTGTGAAAAAAGTTTGGACACGATGAGTGACTCAAAATTCGTTAGAATAAATCGCACAACTCAGCATGGCGCTTATTACGTAGTTAACGAAACGAAGAAATTAGGTAGGTTTTTGAATTTTATTGTGGGCTTTTTTCTGTAATAAATGTCTTTTTTTTGCTCAAAAATATGACTTAGAATTTTATCAAACAAAGAAGTTTTATTGGATCAAAACATAGTTTGTTGAAAATGTCGGTCTACAAAATAT